AAACCAACGAAACTACAGGAGCAAAAAAGGTTTGGAAAAATTCAAAACCTGTGGGCTTACAAATCCTGAAATGAGCCTGATAAAAAGCGAAAGTTGGACAAACTGTTCGATATAAGGGAGATACAAAGTAATCCGGCTGTTGCGGCAACGATGCGGTCGAATGGCAAGATTGCACCTGACCGATGAGATCAACATAAGTTCAACTCAAGTTCGCGATCGCAGCTTCTTCTCGGTTTGGTGCCGTCTATTTTACGGCGGACGCTGCATTATCGGTAAGCGTCTGCTCAGAATTCGGTTTTATGATACTGGTTGCGCTCGAATAATTACGCCGACTGTAGTGTACAGCCCCCGCAACTTCTTTTCAATGTAAACGTAGAACATCTTCATGCGGGCAGCATCGGCACTCTCACGGCGTTATTGCCCGAGCGATAATAATTTTGCCTACTGTCTCAGCAAATCAAATACGCCTAATGCAGCAAATAGTTCAGACGATGTGTACTGTACTGTACTTTTGTACTGTACTGTACGATGTGTACTGTACTGTACTGTACTGTACTGTAGTACTGTACTTATTTGGTTCCAGGAGGGCCAGCTTGCGCTCCAGGCAAACTAGAAGGTCGGTTTCATAGCTTTAGAAACAGTAAAATCTCACAGCCTTACTTTGCATCCATAGGCATAAACCAGTGCAATGTTGAACGCAATCCGCTGCCTTGAGTGTTCCAGGCCATAATCTTGCAGTTTTTCTAACACCTCATTATAGATCGATTTGTGATATTTAACGACGGCTGCAATATCCGTGTCACCGCACCGCAGCAATTTAACTGCGTGTTGAGAAACGAAGCGGAAAAGTCCTTTATCACGAACGCGGGACTTGGCATCCCGTTCAGGAATTTCTTCAAGGAACGGGATCACCACACAACGAGACATTCCCCGTATGCTACAAGACAGAATTTCGTCTAAGTGGAAAGTAAATGGAGACCTGGTATTGACTCGTACTTACTTATCAAAATTACGAAAGTCAGTGAGCGCATCAGCGTTTAGAGTTACTATAGCTGATGTTCGTGGACAGCGTCGTTCTTTGTAGTTTGCTAAAGCTTTTTTCTCGTACGTATCTTCCACAGCCATTTTCACAATTTCTGGGCTGGCAGGGTCGTGGATAACCACAGGTAATGCTTGACTGGTAATCAGTTCCCGCAGTCCGGCCAGCGTTATCGTTTTCAAATCATACAGTTTCGAAGCTCCAGTCGCAAACATTTCCAGAACCATGCTAGCGGTAAAAGATTTCCCACAGTTTGTTTCCCCATACAAAAGCACCGTCGGCATTCTAAGGAAGTTTTCCACTGTGACGTCGTAATGGAACCCGCCGTAAGCGGCCCTAAAAAACCAACATCTGGAAACAAATTCTATTTTGCCTGATAACAGTTAGGTCGATGCTGCGTGCACGGGGAAACACGGGTATTGGCTGCGTGCACGGGTGTTCGCACGGGTGTTGGCTGCGTGCACGGGTGACCTTTGGGGGGATCCCACGGGTGGTGGCTGGGTGCACGGCTTTTTAATTTGTTTTATGATTTTCGAATTTTGGTCGTAACAGTTACAGTTTTCCAGGTCTTATTCAACCGCAACAGTTTTTTCGACGTATTTCTGACGTATTTATTCATGTGCCATACATAATCTCGAAATAGTTACAGATACTTTTTTTACGGCTCAGATTTTTTCTATGCGGCTTGATGCAATGGTGTCAACTGCATGGTTCATAAGCGGCCACCAAGTGTGTTCGCATCAGACCCTGCTCAAAAAAGGCCATTCCATGATCATCCCGAAAACAACCGCGGTAGCTATAGGGCTGTATTACAGAAACTCTCATGTCTTCGGCTCTTGCTTCTGTGACTTTCAAGAACTCCATGGTACTGCACTAACAATCATTAAGTGGTAACATATACTGTACTTGCTATGCACAGCAAGTTTCGCAGTATTTTTCTACTTGCTGTAGGTACTTAACTGTTTTTTCGTTCAAAAATTATGGGTTAAGTAAGTAAGTTTCCATAAGCAGTAATTATGTAAAAAAATATAATTAAAATTATATATTTAAATTTAAATTAAAAAATTTGAATGAGTTACCCGTGCACGCAGCCAACGCCCGTTCCCAAACTCCGTGCACGCAGCCAACACCCGTGCGGACCCAAAAATACTCGTATCACCCGTGCACGCAGCCAACACCCGTGTTTACCCGTGCACGCAGCCATAATGTAACAGTTAACAGGGGTACAGGACAGGTGTCAGTTGTTAAAAATAAAAAGCCCATAAGAACATCAATAAATTTAAGAAACCGACCGTTGGTCGACAAGAAACGTAGCAAAAGTTCTTTGTGTTCAGTGCTAAAACAAAATGCGATGTCCGTTCGTTGGTCACCGCCACCATACGCATATAGATTCACACCCATGTAACTCGTGGACCCGTGGTATCCGTTCGTCGGCCACCGCAGCCAAAATAAAATATTATCAGTGCCCGCCACACGTAGCAACCCGTACCAACATTATTTTGCTTGTGTGAGTACTTGAGATTCTTGTCTTCCAGTATAGTACATATCAGACCTGGGCATTATAGAAAGTTGGCCCACAATCAGAGTTAAGAGTTACAGGTAGCTTGCGAGAGTTAAGTTACTGTATACAAAGTATATGCTGGAAAACCGCGTTTCAAGTTATACCGCGAGTTACACTACCATAAAGCATATACAGGTATTATTTTTATGAGAGTTCAGTGAGTGTTAAGTTTTCGTCTGAACGATTTAAGCTGAGAGTAAAGCTATTACTCAATAGCTAAAAAATAACTGGCGTCAAGTTAAATAGTTAAAATTAACTGCCCCGGTCTGGTACATATCAACGTATTCCAACATATTCTGCCCGTTAGAAACAAGGAATTCTGTGGTTTCTTTGGCTTCTCGTGTATTTCGACTAAAATGTGCTCAACTAGCAAGCCGAAAATGAGGTCCGATAAAGTAATTTAGGCAAGCACACAAGTGCACCGAATTCGAAACAGTCGTTTGATTACATTGTACCAGCAGAGTGCAGCGTCAGACGACTGGCTACTAGCGGCAAAGCTCAGCTCGTAATTAAAAATATTTAGCCGCAGCAGTTCTCTGTCCACCGCCAGTGAACGGTCACTCCGCCCTGGAAACTGCCTGTACACATAGCGCTGTTTCGAAATCCGGCACTTCGTTTCCTTTCTCCCTAAGATTGCCGGCGCCATGAGATCGAGCATGCAATGGCACATATGTTGAGCAGGGGGACTACTTTATTTGGCTGTGCTAAGAGCACACGACGTGAAAGAAAGTTCACACGATTGCGCATAACATTTTTTATGAAGAATGTGGATCCATACGTAATTTGTCATACCTAGTGCAAGGATAAACCCGAAAACCGCTTTCTTCGGCAAAAAGGAAGCGATGAATGTGAATGCATCATAGTCCGCTGGAAATGATTCCGGAATTGATAGTTCTGGTATGGCGCCCGGAATCCAAATGTATTCAGTTTCGTTAAGCTTAACTCGCTTCCAAGAACCATCGGGCAGTAAACGGAATGCAGTCTTATCACCAAATACGACCACATCTTGATCTGCCTGACGACCGTGACGGGTGACTCTTTTTCGGTACACAGGCTCGTGATTTTCTTTGGCCTTGCTGTAACACAACATTTTTATTTTTATAGATTCCAGCGAAAGTCGTTGTAGTTATGGTGCTAACAGCTAGCAGAAACTGCCAGAAACGTATTGCCGAACGCTGCAAGCATTGTACAGCCGCCGCGAAAAAACGTCGCTTAAGACGGCCTGTTCACAAGACTTATTATGTAGCCCTTATCTCACTTAATGAAGTCTGAGGTCAGAGATTCTCCGTAGTCCTGCAAGTCGGCTTGACTAAGTTTGCAAAAAATAGCGGGCAATCCTTTGCAGCTCTTTTTAAGGGAATTTCGGAAGTTTTCAGCTGAGTGCCACGCCGTGCTGGGTAAAAATCCGTCACTGCAACAAACCGTAGAACAAATGCAGACATAGAATTGGCGAATCCGTATAAATGGGTCAACTTAAAACCTTGGCATACTAACAATTTTCCAAAATCTTCGCAGTCAACTTCGATGACGTAACCGCCGTCAGCGTCCGTATCATCTCCAAGGACTATTGCCTTAATGGTAATTGCACAACTTAACACCTTTCTCTTCCCCGGGTCATCCGTTCGAGGAACGGCCACTTTAAAAGTTTTTCCATGCTCCACACTGAAGGAGTATTCGTAATTCATCTATAGCAAATTATAATGTAATTGAAATGATGTAGTCTAGAGCAAATATTCTAGAGAAAGCATCAAAACTCAATTAAAAAAAATACGTGACGAGCAAATGAAGAAGTAGTTACCGAAGAATCCATTATTCTGAGAGTATGCTCAACACATAAAACTTCAGAACAGAAGATTTTCTTTAAAAAAGCGCATGCTTCTTAATTAATTTTGTTTAGTCTAAGCAAATCAATATGAATTTGAAAATATCTTTGAAAGAGAAATTTTAAATTGTAAAACAAGTCTCTGCCCTTTAAACCAAGACGTAAACACGCGCGTGAGAGAATTGTGTCAGTGATAGGTTTTACGTTCGCACAAGCCGTTCTATTGGCTGGGCTGGTAGCAGCCCTTTAGCTGCCGGACACTGCACATACTGTAGCGGATATTTGACAAAGCAGGTGGGTTTGGCTATGTGCTCTTCTGTGCCGCAACTTATGCAAAGTGGGCGGTCAGAACACGTTTAAACTTGTAGAAGCGCCCATATTTTCTTTCCGGCTGCCTTGATTTCGGTAATGTGAAGGGCGATTCGTTCTGCTCGTAGAGACCTTAAACTTATTGAATTCGCCAATGCTCGTAAACTACGCTCGTGGTTACAGTGACTTTCGAGAATTCTCTCGAAAGTTTGCTATGTTTGGCGGGTTTTGCCATTTCTGATTACAGCAACACACACTGAAGGCTGTTTTTTTAATAATTTTGTAGGTTTGCGTAATTTCGTAACAGTTTGTGCGCTGATCTGGCAAACATAACAGAAAGAAAGAAGTTCAAGCATCTGGAGTTTTCGTTGCCATTATGGCCAACACACCGGAATTCAGTGCGGATTCTCGCGAGGCGTGCGGGTATTTGGTTACCAAGTATGGTTTTCGAAATCTGGAACAATTTAAAGCGTGTTGTGCATTTGTGCCAAGGACAATGCCATCTGGGAAGCGAATGCAGGTATTAAGGCCATTTTGATCTAGTTTGCAGTTGCTAAAGTTTTAGCATTACTTGTCTTTCGTAGACAGTTGTCGAGTCAGATATTTTAGTAACTTTAAATCCCCATATAACTTTATTTCGACATAGGCTATTGCGGAGATGATGAGCCTCTCGACTGCTCAAACGCAAAGCTTGGCACACGACTTTCGACGGCTTGCGCCATCATTTTTCGAAGATCCGCCATACACTGCTCCAGTCGAAGTGCTTTGCCCTCCTGTTTTACACTGTCAAAACAACTGTCGGTGGAAAATTGGCCGACACAGGGGAATGTTGCGAGTTCTCTCCTGGCATCGCAAGCCGACTAAAGTAAGTGTCTTGCTACTCCTAATTTTTAATTTACATTTTAATTTTTTATAAGTAAGGTTTAAATTTTCTGGCTGTCAGGCAACAATTTTTAGCGGAGCAGGAAGAACTAAACCTGCATTAGTGGTAACTCTGAGGTGCAGAGGATGCAATTCGCGGTATTCCTATGGCTCCTGGACCAATCATCGAACCTCGACCTACTCATTTTACAGCACCGGTCAGCCTTACCTGGACGTCTCGCAAGAGGTTTTCGTTTGTCGGCAGTTTGCACTTGAAATCGTCAACCAGATGTGAGTGAACTTAAGCAATTGGGAAGCAGTCTCACTACGATTCTATTCTTATAAAACGCTTTATAGGTTAATGTCACTAAAAAGCTGTGGTTATAAATTTACAAGAAGCAGATGCGGCTTCGCCGCTGCGTTTCTTGTAATCCCGGCCTGTTTGAACAAATAATTTCGAATAATTCGTTAGAAATGTATTTGCTGCCCCAGCGGTTACTGTACGAATTCTTAAAGGAGGACCCTGAGTCAGATTGCTGACGTCCCCTGCTAAAAATTGAGCTGAACCACGAAAAAACTGGATAGTGTGCACTGTGGATGATTCAGTCACAACTCGATTTTGCTCACCGTACAGAGCTCACTTCACAACGGTTGTAGATGTCACTCACTCATAATCTAGCGAATTTCCATGCTTTAATACTAGGCAGTGGTTGTAGCTTGGTCACTTACGCATCTAGTGCTCTCAGTTACTTGGATGCAAAAGTTCCTGTACTGTATAGCTTCTAAAATTAGTACCGGTTGCATTGCCAGTTTTCGAGCCGTCTTACGGAAGCGCACTATTTACAGAACATTCTTGTGTTCTTGAATAGTAAAAGGACTGATAAACAGGGATCTGATATGCGGGATGTGATCTTCCAATAATACTCTTGCGTAATTCTAGCTTGTACGAAAACTAACAGTTGCTAATTCGAACACTTTTTACAGACTCTTTAATCACGCGACATACGACGGAATTGCGGAAACTATGAGGCAGACATACAATTGGGATTCGTGTAAGTTACGATAAAAATGGTACCGTCGTTGTTTCGTCGCCTACCGATATAATGCTATTATTATTATTATTATTATTATTATTATTATTATTATTATTATTATTATTATTATTATTATTATTATTATTATTATTATTATTATTATTATTATTATTATTATTATTATTATTATTATTATTATTATTATTATTATTATTATTATTATTATTATTATTATTATTATTATTATTATTATTATTATTATTATTATTATTATTATTATTATTATTATTATTATTATTATTATTATTATTATTATTATTATTATTATTATTATTATTATTATTATTATTATTATTATTATTATTATTATTATTATTATTATTATTATTATTATTATTATTATTATTATTATTATTATTATTATTATTATTATTATTATTATTATTATTATTATTATTATTATTATTATTATTATTATTATTATTATTACATCAAGAGCAGACAACCCGCTAAACGGGACTTCAACGTCTGTTCGGCACAAAACTAAACAAAATAGCAATTTCTAAGACAGATCAACAGTTCGGAGAGCAAATTTGAAAAATCCCACACCATCAACACTGAGTATATGCAAGTTAACTTTTTGTATGCGCTCAAAGATGTTCTTTAGTCGCATGGCCAGCGTGCCTTCTCCGATCTTCTTCTTCGCTCTGGCAGCAATTCTCGTTGGGTTCCGCAGGTTGTACCGCATTCCATAGTCCGTGAAGTCGATCATTTCGACCATGTACCTCGGCGGATGGTATGCTTCGTGGTTGTAGATCTTGTACAACCACACCGCTTCCGACTGCTTCCAACGGTCGTACACCGGCAGGATGCGCAGTTTCTGATACAGCTCGGGTGTAACCCGCTCCTTGTAATCAGAAATCGCCCGCAGTGCTTTCCGCTGTGCCCTGTCTATCTTTCCGCGTAAAGCCGAAGATGCCGGTGACCACGTACCTGACCCGTAGTCAAGATGTGGCTGTACACAGGCATGGTAAAGGCTCCTACGGTGAGGCAGATCCAGGCCGTCTTTCGCTCGGTTGGTCATTGCGATGCCGTAGTTGACTTTCCGCAGTACGTGATCGTAATGCACATTCCATTTTAAGTTGCGGTCAATGTAAAGGCCAAGATACTTGACCGACTGTTCCGCCTCCATCTGGTAACCGTTAATTGTTACAGTAGGAGAGTGCTGGCTGTTCTTTGCGTCCGATCAGATGTACATTAACTTGCACTTCTTCTCGTTAATGCACAAGGTGTTGTCTGCAAGCCAAGCCGTCACGTTGTTAATCTGAACAGCCAAATTCGCTGCTGCTTCTGTTTTGTTGGCACCGCATCCGAACAGTATGGTGTCGTCTGCAAAACATTCTGCGTCGCTTCCGCTAACTGACGCCGAGCAGGCGATATCAACCGGCCGCACGATATCGACACCATGAGAGCGACCTGAAACATCATAAAATTTTAAAAACCTGATAAAGCCAAAAAATCTCAGAAAGAACAGGAAGACTGGAAGAACTGCACAGTATATGAAAAACAGTAGGTCGAAATTGGGATGGAGACATCGTATCTGCTCACCATTGTGCCGGTCACCGAATTATAGTCGACTTAAAAGGCGGTTCACCGCTAAATTTTGCGGATATTAGTTTATTGGCTTTTATGAATGGTACGCGGTAAAACGAGTATGACTGGGCCCAGCTACCCCCGCTTTTCAGTTAGCTATGCCGAAAACACTTTGTCAGCGGCTCATTCTACAGATGGGACTCACAGTATTCCAGTTACTGAACTTCGATAACCGTTAAGTAATGTGCAATGCCACAGTGTGGCACAACGAACCGTAACTGAATTTCGGGTACTACTTTGCTCAGCAACGGATAATTTTAACCATACATTTTGGAGAATGAATCACCTACGCATTAAAATATCCAGATAGGAAAAAAGTTTCGAAATAAATCGTTATACCGTATTATTTGTCCCCACATCCATTGTACTTTACCCTTGAATATGCAAATTGCAGATCAAAGGTCCTGGCTACACAGCCGCCATCATGCAGGATGAACTGGTGGTCGCACTTCCAATACCATGCTATTGTACTTTATAAAGAGATACATTTAAGCTATGTAGGGGAGCCGCTGTAGAAAGAAAAACTGCTCACAATTCCGTTACATCAAACTTGTAAATAATACTAGTGTTTGCACAACGGGGCACTGGCTAGTACTTTTTGCAATTAACTCCATGCGGGATTTTACTGATTCATGCTTCCGGCATTTTATTGTAACTCCAGTCATTCGATAAGGGAGGGCGTTCAGTATACGAAATATATTCGTTGAAATTAACTGGTGCCGGTAATCAACTGCATAGTCAGCAGAGATTCTCTTATTTTGTATAGTTATTTCAGTTTTATTATGTAAATGTCCCAAATAAACACAGATAATTTGAAATTTTCAGTGTTCTCTCGGAAAACAGTGGCTGCCACTTTCATGCGGCACGAAATTGAATGCGACATACGGGAACAGGATAGTCAGCTATTCAATTTCAACGAGAAAAAAAGTATTCTGCAGTACTTGGACAAGAGAATGGACGCGATATTTTCCACCGTGTACAGACATGAATGCACCCCTGCGTGCATTGCGCGACAGTGTGGAACGATGATTATTATGGACGGAATATGGAAAGCTGGTTTCAGACACTGCATCGCTGAGGTGCTGGTGGGTGCGAACTGCGAAGTACCACGATAACAAATAGCTGCCACGATAACAAATATTTATTTTAATATAAATGTTGACTATCTACCCTATTTACTAAGATAACTTCAGGAAGCAATAAAGTATAATTACAACTTCTTTGAACTGCTTCAGAATATTGTGGAGACTATTCCATTGCTAAACTTTCCGAATGTTTGTACAAACCAACCAGACGGCACTTGTCTGCACTGCGTTAAACATAAACATCTGGAGTCCGCCATAAAAGACCAACGTGAACATATGACCATTCATATGGCAGGTAAGCTTTAGATAAAATTACTAAAATCCTCTTTATGATCAACTGGTTAATACGTTTCAGGGGTCTCAGATATGCTAAAATCCAAAGCAATGTCGGACATTAATGCCTTACTAAATGGCGAAATGGATAACGCTTCCCCGGAGACTACTTGCCGAAAATTTGATCCACAAGTCAGCTGCAAAAAGAACAAGGGCCAAAATCAGCGAGGTCATCTTTATAGTCGTGGCTATTTATTTCTAGTTGGACCCACGGGACACGTCTATAGCTTTGCCCCAATTTACAGGTAAAAAAACAATCGCTGCTCGACAAAAAAAGCTAGCCACCAAAAGCCGGGCATGAAAAACATAGTCGCGGAACCGTAATAAATTTACCATACGATATCGCAACATCGTTAACCTAGGACTTCCCAATACCCGATCCCGTTCGAATTAGATTAGACCATGAAAACTAGGAATTTTCGACCAAATAATTCTCTTAAGAAACATAATTTTTTTAAAAATCTTGCTGGTCATAGGTCTGCTACGGCACAATCGTATCAATCTAACACCAAACGGGCTGACTGATACTAATGACAAATTATGTTTGGTTTCATCACAATTAAATTTAAGATAATTTTTCAAACTAAAATGCTAAAATGCATTTTTCAAACTAATGTAAGATATAAAGTTTTGCCAGCACATTTTTTACCGTCATGAAACTGACCGCCGGGTAACAGGATAAAAATATAAGAAAATGGAAAGGCAGGCTTATTCTTCCGCAAAAAGCTTGTTAAATAGCTGTATTTTGACAGAAATGACTCATGAAGTTATTGGACGCTGTCCAGTTAACATAACTGGATACTAGGAGAGCACATGTCCATGTTACCGCTGTTAAACAATACAGATACGCAGTAGTTGCGGTGCAGCAGGAAAGGCTAACTCGAATACCTAAGAACATGTACGAGCCAGAGCAGTGACCATTATTTTCTTTGTGACCGCCACGAAAGGTCGCTAGCAATCGTAGTCTTTGTGCGTACCTGGAACTAAAAGCAGTCAAGGTTGTACCTCACCGGCAGTTTACGCTTACGTTACCATGCGCATGAACGCGCTTGCAGTGTCGATTTCACACTGATGCGCGTTCATTGCAGCATAAGCTTAAGAGATCTCTGGTTACTGTTCGCTTATCCCGCTTGTCAGCAAAGATAATTTTCTATGAGAGCGGCTTCCGGCGGTAAAATATTATGAAATGTAGCAAATTGTAGAGCAATTATTACGCTGCTGGGTGGTGGTCACTCCGATGACCCATTAAAGGACTCCCAGTAAAGAGCCCTTAATAGAATACCAAATTGCAGAATATTTTGCGACGTACGCTTAAATTTACTAGAAGATCTTGTGTAATGGCTGTAATCTACTGCACTGCCCGTTGTTGTCAAAATGATACCACGTTTTCATATTACAAAATAAAAGTTATGCAAGGTAACACATTGAGTAAACTACGTAGTTCAACTGTACAGTTTTTTGAGTCAAGCGAATGGGCAGGAGGTGTTAGCGACCTTCATTTAACAGTGGTCTCAAAAATTCTCCTACGTTGATGACCACTGGCGAGAGCACCTTAGACCTAAACTTTGCGGACTAGTTTTGTAGAATAGGCCTCAACATCTTGATTCGCAAAAGGAAAATCAAAATTTCTATGCTGCGTTCAGATATACGAGCAAGTTCTTTGCGGTATCACTTTGATATCAACGGGAAGGAACAGGTTATTATCAATGCAAAAATGAAGTCCCCATCTGGATTATATTCAGCTATTAAGGACTTCGAGGTTGCACAGCGCGCGCAGCTTGTGGTGTTTGTCGATGGGTGCGCCGGGCCAGCGGTCATTGCTTTATAGAGCTGTTATTCGTTCAACGCTTGCTCCGGAAGCGGTATTCTTTCATGCACATTGCACCAGTACAGCTTTTGCCCAAATTAGCTATTCTTGGGCCTGGCGATGATTCGGGAAAACCAGAAGTTTCAATAGAAGAATGATTCATTAAACTTTTAGGTGGGAACGCTGAACGAAAGAAGAGCATTACGGGATGTGGCACATACTCTACTATTTACATGTAATACAACAGACCGACGTACCGAGTGGCCTTCAGGCCTTCTCCCCTTACGATTTTTTTCTCGCAATCAAGTTTAGCATTGTCGATAGGCAGCTTCATGGCTACCAAAGTCAATACATCGCTTTCTGGTGCCTCGCAGTCAAAGGAATGGTTTATATGCCCGTATTCGAATGAAGGTTAAAACTTTAGATTACTTGATAGCTGCACTGTTCGTGTTGACAGATCCAAACGCCGCTGCGTACCAGATGCGTAATTATCCCTCAAAAATTAGGCGCAGAATTAGTATTTTCAATACTTGCCGTCGTGCATGACTTGAGTACGCAATCGTATAAAATTATAAAAAATTATTTTCAGCTAACGATCTACTGTACCTTTACACGCATTTCCATGTTTTTAAAGTACTTTGAAATTTTTCAGCGCAGATTCCATGATAATGTTTTGTCTGAGCTCGTGTTTTGGTGTTGATTTGTTCACGAACTGTTGTCAATAGGGCAGAAAGCCTGGGACAAGTCTTCCTCTTTTTAATAAGCGGATTGTATCAACTTTTGCAAGATGTGCCACCTGAGGACTGGAATAAGATATTTGTCTGCTACGACAATATTTGCCAGTTGAACCGGCTGAAAGCTGCCTGTGAACTGCTTCCATTATCTAAACCATTTGATGAGATGTGGCTGCGAGTCAGCAAAATTATCGACGGATTGCACATTCAAAACCACAAAGACCCGAGATGCAGCAAAGATTATCACCCGGATAATTTTTACTCAACCTATCCAGAGGCGGAAAAGCGGAACACGATGGCAGCTGAACAAACGTTCGCGTGGTTGGCGAAATTCAGGAAACAGCTTAATGCAATGAATAAGGCCAAGCAAATCTTCTTTCTCTATCGAATGATATTACGGCGTAATGTCTACCTGGCAGAATGTGTAACAGAGGCAAAGCAGCCGGTTGGTGGCACAATGCGTACCTTTACTGACAAATGAAGCCATTGCTTATTTTTTATTGCAAACTCCGTATATATTTTAATTATACTCCGTATACTTTAATTAGCACATGGTGGATGCATTGTGTGTGTGTCAATGTTTCTTAATCTCCAGGTTGCATCATTATTCTTTATTGTGCCTCCTCATATTAGCGCTAGGTGGGGGTGTAAGCGCCCCTCCCGTAGGTCACGAAATAATAAAAGCCCCTTCCCCGAATTTATCACCTCAAGGCGTCTAAAAAGTTGCCGTGTTGCGTTTTTGGTATGTTGTTTGCACACCCTACCTGCGCCAAAATGCTCATTTAGTTTTTGAATTAAATCCCACTTATGCCCCGCGCAGACCGTTGATATCGGATTTTACGGTAGTTGTGCTAGCGCAAACTTTAATGCTACCCACAACAAAAGAATTCAAAACAATCCAGGAAAATATTACGCGAAAACCAATAGAAGTTTTTGTTGACAGTTTACATCTTTGTTTGGTTGAACTGAAAAGCGCTTTAAAATCACTTTACTGTTAATTGCGTAACGCCACCCTCGCGGAGTCTGACTCATGTATCATCCTTCTACACGCACCATGTTGCGAAAACAGCCAGGTGCACGGGAAAATACGCCCGCTCCCTTCAACTTCTTATTCAGTACAAGCCACGCCCAGCAAGGTAAGAGGGCAGCGGAAGGGCCAGCCAATAACGTAGCGTTTGCCACCGGGTAGCACACCATGCTGACCCACTTATCTCACTTGCATTGTCACTTTGGTGAAATTTTATTTGATTTTTTTTTGCGGGCACTGGATTACTGGATTGTTGATTAGAATAAATTTGCAGTGCTTGAATGAAAATTTTTATTGTTTTTAATCGCTTCCAATTTCCACATTGTGAGAATGGGTTGACTAAAAACTCGAATGGCAGAATAATTTGCAAGCATAAATTTTTTTGTTGTACTGGTATGTTGGCGTCGTTGATGTACTTATTTATGATAGCAATTTGTGCTTCTGTGGATGAACTTAAATTGCTCCGTTAGTGTGGAGATTGGAAACACGTTTGAAGTCGCCATTTCTCTCGAGCAGTGGACGCCGGCAGAAGAATGGTGATACGGTGTACTATTGCTATTAAGGCCATATTTCCTGGAGATGATTCCGACGCTAACGGTGGTTACGTTGTCGAGGCTGATTTCGATGACGTTGGAACGTTCTGAGTAGCAATGTCTGGCCTGTAGAAAATTTATTTCGGGAATGTCTGCTTGTTGGCACGTTCCAGTGAAACACCGTATACCTTTATTCGTTTCCGCATATTTGCGCTCGAATTCACTGATACGTACTTGGGGAGCGCAACAAGCACTCCGCTGGGAACTTTCGCGGTTCCCTTTGAGATGGCCTTTGCAGCCTTTCGGACCGCAGTGTTTCGGAAGGTTAGCCATACCAATTTGAAGAGCTTTAGAGAATTTAACGCTACAAATTTTATCAGATAGAAGAAGTGTTTGTAAACCGCTGCATTGGTTTAGCCTTTAGCAAGATCCCACGACAGTTGTTTGCATTCTCGTGCTATCACCTTGATCGTGTTACAATTCTGCCACATGCAAGCACTTCGCCCGATGCTCGTTTCGGCCACCAATCCAATCGGACACCAATCGATTCGGATTTTAATATGTCTACACAGTATTGGTTAATTTGTAAAGAATTATTTTTATATTCGAATTTACAGACTCTTTTGCTTACAAAATAACCGACGACGAACTTTCGGAAATTTATGATTTTTACGAAACGGTGGATGGCATGGGCTACTGAATGCGTGATTCAACTTGCATTTGTGTACATTGTCCGCAGTTTACAATTAAAGACCAACCTGTACTGCAGTCAGCATAATGTAGTAGCCGGTAATGTTAAACAGCTATTTAATTCTTATTTGTTACGCGCTATTGACTTTTGCAGATGAAAGTATTGTTGAAGTATGGTGCAGAAATGTTCCAGCTTTCTACTCGTAGAATTCTGACTTTTGTAACTATTTCTTTACATGACGAGTAGCCATTTAGATTGAGAAACGTACTTTTGTTTTCTTAAGATCACAAAGATTTGGTTGGTTTGCTTAAGCCACGAAATTCAAATTTTTTAGCCTCTAAATAAATCTTTACGCTCACGTTGTAAACACCTTACTGTTGAGTATCAGTTTATTCGCTCTTCCACATTGTCGCGGTCGTAAACACGGCACCACAGTCAACTTCTATTTACAACCTAAAATTTAGGATTCTGAGTACAATGGGAGAGGTCAATTGCTCTGTGTAAGCGTTACAGGACGCTCAAGCCACAGCCGAATATTAAAACATGACGTCACAGCGCGTAAGCAGGTAAAGGATTTGATTGTTAAACAAGAATTCTGGGATGGGTTTTCAGCTTTCCCGTCCGTGTAACCGTTTCGCTCGACGTTGAAAAACCATAACCCAAGCTAACTCTTCTGCACAAATCAACCAAAGTTTTGTGTGTTTCGAGCAAAAGTACATCCAGCAACCCATATTCGCGCGTCTAAACACAGAATTAACTTTTTCGACGTAATACTGCATAGTGCATACACCACGTTACAGCATCAAAAATGATTTTTTCATTTCCAGTTCGGTGTTCAATTTCCTTCTCGGCACGGAAGCAAATTCGACTTACGATTAAACGGTATTTTTTTCGCTGAGACTTACATACTTTTTCGTGCGTTTCTTTGTTACCTGGCGCGCATAGCTACCCAAATACGGTTGACTTTAACCGTTTAATTGCGAGAACTTGTGTGACCTTTTTACTACTTGCACTGTTACCTGCATCTGTGCAGACCTTGGTACATGGCAAGGCCGGAAAGCCATGTACATAAATCAGGATCTGGATCAACGTCCGCTTTTATTATAAGTTAAGTAGACATTTGTGGGCAAACGAAGTCTAGTCTAGTTTGCGAAGTAAATCTTCTTGTCAATGGTATGATGGTGTTCGAAAAATAAGTGTCCGACCAAAGAAAAAATTTATTTGTGGGTAGCACCTATACTGACGAATACTTTATTTTCAGGAAAGTCAGCCAGGACGATCTCCATCTGTACACCACAAAGCTCACGCGTAACGGTCGTCATTCTGATAAAAAAATCGTTCCATCTGGTCGTAGCGCTCAGTTCGACGGCGTCTTGGAGCGCGTGCTGCTTCACGATACCGATTACAATCAAATTCTCAGCTTCCCCATACAATTGTCAATTACGGAGTCGTTTCCAGCCCAGCTCGACATCTTCAAGTTCCTTGCGTCGTTGCTGCAGAAGGAGGTGCATTTTGGATTCCTCCATAGTTTAGGTAGTTTGATAAGGCATTACTGTACAGTACTGCAGAGTATATCGTCAAAATTAAAACGCTGCTCTGCGCAGCTATCGGTTATCTGCTTTCGTTTGCATACTATCTATGCGTATAATATGGATTCCTGTTACCGAATCCCCTTGCACGCAGTAAAAACAACAGAAGCTCGAAACCGCCAATTTGTCATATCCGCTTCTGGAAATTTTTGGGTCGGCCAAGATTACCTTTGCCTCCCCTTTGCCTTTGCCTTTTCACTTTGCCTTTTTCAACTTTACCTTTACCTTTGCCTCTGCCGCCGCGAACACCTTACCGTCGGAGTTAGCCTTTCCAAAAAACCGCCCTAAATTACCTTTACCGTTGGCTTTAGCCGATGCATGACAGAAGGCCGTCAAACACTTTACCATTTCCGAAGTTTTTTAGCGCCGTGGTATCTTCGACATGGAAAATTATGAAATTTTTGCTTTATACAGTATACTCGTATTAAATTATACCATCGTAACCATTTTTTATTTATATTTTTTTTTATTAGATCAGTTTATTTTCGCAATATGTACAAAGGCGAGGTTCGCTTTTGTACATATTGAGAAATAAACTGATCTTTTTATTGTACATTTTTTATTGTACATAGTACATACTGTACGTCTTATCGCCTTTTCACCGCATAATAGCCAGGTTTAAATTCCCACGCTAGATTCGATCTTAGCTTTCAATGGGTTACCTGCCTGCCGTACAATAAACAATAATAGAATCAATGGAATAATAGATCCACACCATCGAAACAGTGGCTGAGTGGCGGCAAGCGATTTATCTCATGCGTCGAAAGACTGGAAACTGCAAAACGCTGGCAAACTGGACATGACTGGCCTAACTGAAAACGCTATCGTGGTACCGTGCGAGTTTGATTCTGATGGGGCCAAGGTCAACGACATTGTGAGCACTCCTTATTTGCTGTCGCTGATAGCGCAGAACGGTAAATTTTACTCAATTAGCCTTCGATTAGATAAATTTTGCCGATACAGTATCAGTATTTTAAGGGTTTTGTAGAATTTTTAATACTTAATAAGGCAAGCGTCTTTTACTGTTTATACTAAAACAATCTGAATCCATCTTCAAATATGAGTTCCATATAAGCATCTATCCGCTTGAATGTCAGCAGTCGGTCAGAGATATCCTGAATGTATCCTAGCCTATCTCTTATTAAGTCGGCTACTACTTTATGACTACCACAGTTTGCGTCGACGCCACTGTTAATAATCGAACAGGATCTGATCTAAAACGTTAGTCGCCGGTCCAGTTATGTTTACATTATTTTGTTGCTTGACGTCAATTATTAAAAAAAACGGTAATTTGTCTGACGGTAGTCTGTTATGCAAAGGCTAGAGCCAACAGTAAAGGTCATTTAGAACGGTTTTATGGGAAGGCTAATTCGGACGGTAAGGTGTTCGCGGCGGCAAAGGCAAAGGTAAAGGTTAAGTTGAAAAAGCCAAAGTGAAAAGGCAAAGGCAAAGGGGAGGCAAAGGTAATCTTGGCCGACCCAAATTTTTAGAACCTGGCCACAACCACGCGGCTGTTGTAAGCGTCCACAAGATGACGCCGGTGCTTATGCGCGTGCGTATGAATAATGGGGAAGCTTTTACCGACAGCAGGGTTTTGGAAATCTTTGCATCAGCACTAGGAGGATCCGACCTTTACGATCG